GTATACTACTTCCTCTCTCCTTGTAGATCTTGCTCACCTCCTGCCCTTACACCGCCATCTGAAGGTGCACGGAGCGGAAGTGAGGATGTACAGAATGAGAAATGAGAGCAGCAGCTACGCTCAATATTCAAGATATTTCCATGAAGGACTTCTCAAGGTACAAAAAAGCATCACAAAGTTTTGGCTGTGTACAAAATACACTTTCTGTGAATCAGACAAAAACAACAGTTTAAAAGATGTTTCATAGATAATTATTATCAACACTGATCAGTGGAAAACGTTAAAACATTAAATAAGATGGCTTATAAAGAGACAGTTCATCATAACCTGAAAGCTGATTATAAATGCAACTTATACACTTATATAAGCAAATCATGTTAATAAAATAAAAACCTTTTAAAAAAAATTACAGCAGTCAGTTGTGCAACATGAATAGTGCAGTAAGCACAAATGCTGCACATTTGCACAGACAGGAGTTAAATCATTGTTTTCTTTGATTGCACAAAAAGTATTCACATGTGGATGGACGTCCACGGAGTTTTTATGTGAGCCACTTCTCCATGCAGTCCCTGAACACTGTGAAGTTGGAGTGCCAGGTTGTGTGCTTCACCCCCGAATGAACACACGTCACCAAGTCGCCACGTTGGTCCAGCGTCTTCAGCCCAAACGCATCGTTCAGGTAAAACTGAGAGAGCAGAAGAAAATGACATGATTCAAGTTTTGTTTTTGAATGAACACAGTGGAGGCTCTGCAGTGAAAATAGTAGAGATATTAAAAAAATACAAGTTTAACACATTTGCAATAAAATACATTCAGCTAACATTTTATTCTCTACATGAGAGCAGTCTAACACAGCAGGCCAGCAGGAGGAGCTTTTTTGTGTTCGTCTCTGTAACATCCTTTAGTTTTGAGTTCTTTCTTAAACTTCCTGTGCCTACTTCTGGTTTCTTTGTGTTCTCATTCTCATTTCTCACATTTGTGCCCCTTCGATCCTCCTACCTGTTTATCCAGAAAACAATCTCATTACTTTGAAGAACGTCTCGATTCCTAAAACACGTCTGGTGACAGACAACAGAAGAGGCTTGCTGCAGGAGCTACGACTGAAGACGTGCAGGCGCATCCTTTTTTAAAAGCATTTTTTACCTGTGATGCATGATAGAGGTGTGATACGCTGCTGGAACAGGAGAACTCCAAAATGAAGTATTCCTACCTTTGCAGCATCTGCACACATTGTATGTTCTGTTCCCTGTCTGACTCCAGCCTCTGCCTTCCTCCTCTTCCTCCTCTGGCTCAGCTTTGAAACCTCTGCACCTAGCTCCACCCGTCTCTCCCTTCATCTCTCCTCAGCAGACTGACCCACCTTCCTTTCAGCCCCAATTCCACCACCACTCCCTCCCCATCAACCACCCTGAGTATTTTTATTTTGTTAATAAAATGATCTTTTCATCCTTAATTTCCTCCCTTCAACATTTGTGTGTGTGTTAAACAAAATGTGTATAATATCCTGCCACACTTGCATGCTGTGAATGTCACTAAAAGCAGCTCTGCTATGAGATAATAAGATACAGCAGACAAATGATTCAGCTTTGCCACACATCAACTCATAAATAAAACATGGACTGTATAATGCAGCACAACTAAGAAACTCCACCAATTTCCACAAAGCTGAATCAACACCTCTGTAACAGACTTAATATTATGTCAGTCATCAAGTGAAAACCTACAGCGGGACTGTTGTTTTTAGCTACACCTCAATAAAAACAAAGTGTGTTGTACAGGCAGCACTTCAGTTTGCCACTAACCTCCTGCTTCTGCATTTCTACGACGTTTTCGCTGCTGTCATAGAATCCGAAGTGGCTGCACAGAAAAAAGGAAACAGTTGTTTCAGGTAAAGATGTTTCATAACTTTTACCACAAACTGATCACTTTGCAAACACATCGAAGGCTCTGCTGGTAAAAACGTTGTTGTCTCCAAACTGAGTATCTTTACTTAAGTGCAGTTTTAGTATAGAATAGAATAGAATAGAATAGAATAGTCCTTTATTGTCATTGTACATGTATAACGAAATTGTGCGCGCTCCACATAACTGTTCTGGAATAAAGTTTTATTAGCAGACAGCAGGAATAAATAGCAATCAGAAGAAATGTGCACAAAAAAAGAGAAAGGCACACATTTGAGAAGAAAACAGTTGCAAAGTCAAAGAAAAAGACTTGGTCTGGCCTGAGTGATGAGGGTTACTCAGACCGTGGCTCAGAGCGGTGAGGTGAGTGGGGGGATGAATGGCTCAGGGGAAGGAACTGTTTGTGAGTCTGAAGGTGGGACCTGACTGACCTGAGTGTAACTGAATACAAATATTGTACTTTGAATCCAATATTGAAAAGGACCGACATGCATCTTAAGGTGACCAACACATAAAGTGCTGCTTTGTGGCCCACAAGCAGCAGAACGCACTACAGTAAATTTTGTTCCTCCAAAATTCATGTCCGGATTTTTTCGATTGATCGAAAGCCAACAGAAGGAAATCGATGGGTCACTTTTTTTCACACAGTCTCGTCAGTGTGACATAATGAGCCACCTCTCATACATAAAATGTAAATGAAAGAGAACAAACAGTGTGTGCTGTAAAGCTGATGACAGTGAGACCTTGACTGCCACGGCGTGATGACACCATCGTCCGGTCCTCCAATTAGCACCAACTTCTCGATTTGCAGGAAGTTTTCCCTCCACGCTGTGAAAGGAAAAACCAAAGGCATGAATGTTTGTTTTCGCGCTAACCAGTGCATATGATGACTATACCAGATCAATACCTTTCATGTCACTGTGAGGTCTTTCACCATTGAGGAGAGGCAGAAAGATGTTGTTCCGCAGGTAGCTGCGTCTTTGGTGAGGGTCTGTGGACAAAATAGGTTTTCTATTTCAGTAAATGTGCAGACTGTCTTCAGTTAAATCTGAAGAACTCTTGTTTTCTCACCGTTCCAGTAGTCACAAATAGACACTTTTTGACCGAATTTGTTGTAGCAGATAAAATGAACATTCTTCTTCACGGTTTTGTGGAATACCTTCTGCAGGTAGTCTGTGTCTGAGAAGTAAGAGGATAAGATCAAGTTCATCTTAAACATCCTGGTGAATATTGAGAAGTGTGTTAAAAAGCTCACGTTCTTTAAATGTTGAAGCTTATGCAGACAAGTTTTTAAAAGCTCTCTGACCTCCGTACTGTCCAGCCAGTGGGGATGACAGTGAAATGAAGGTGTGCACGTTGTGGTTGGGAGTCGTGGAGAGAAGTGCTCGACAAATTAGACCACCTTCACGGAAAAACAGAGACTAAAAATGAGTCTCAGCTTCAGAAATGTCTACCTTAAATTCATCTGTCCTCACTATTATGGAGTTTCTCTATAACTACTGCGTACTACGATAGAGATGAAGCAGCGGCTAGAAGTGGAAGAGTGTGATGTGTCGTATTTTTACCTAAACTTGCCTAAACCTAACCAATGAATAA